AAGACGTTTTAACACAGATTATAAGGGCGTAGTTTTGTATATAAAAAGGACTTAAAAAATATAGCCCTGAGGTCGACGTTTTCGGTGGCTATTAACAGCATAACATATGTATTTATGTATATATGTAGTTTTAAAGTTGTGTGTTAATTTTTTGAGACTATGTGAATCCCTCAAAAAGGTATTTGTTAAAAAAGAAACACGGCTAATATATAATACACTAATGCCGGATTTCCACTAGGCATTAAATGACACAAGTTTTAATGACACAGTTGGGCATTAAAAATACCTACCACGTTTCCACGTGGCGTTTTGTAAATGGCACAAATATTTCGCCATTTCAACGCCTAGTGGAAATTCGGCTGCAAAAAGTAGCAAAATTAATACGTTTTTACTTGAGTTTTGCATATTTGTTTTTTTTCTTGTTTTCTTTTTAATGAAACTAATGCATTTTAATAAATGTTCTAATCATCCTAACACGCAACTGTTCACATTTTCCTTTAAATGCTAGCTCACAAGGTTGAAATTAGAGCGGATTTTATTCGTTCCGATTTCTTTGAATTTCTTACGTATTTTTTACTGCTTACTAATTTCCCTCGATTTTCCCCAAACCTATGCATACACAGCAATTGTACACAAACTTCTTATCCTTTTTCCATTTCTTTGCTTTCAAAATTTTTACTTCCAAACAAAATTAAATGAATGATTGTCCTTGTTGAAATCCTATCACTTTTATCTGTTGAATTCTGTTTCAGTTTGGTACTACGTTTGTATTTTGCATTGAATGTGCTGGTGGTGGAAAGCGAGAGATATTCGTTTATCAGATACAATTTATTACTCCCATTATATATATAGTAGTATTATGAAAGTCAAAAGTATGAAATTAATTGATAAAATCGAAATTTGTGACGCTCACTCGCTCTCCATTGAAAGCAGAATTTGTATTTTCAACTACATAGTAAATAAGTAAGCATTAATTGCAAAATAACTTTTATTTAGTTGTATAGAATTTCTGGCGTTTTGTCATGTCGTTACTAACTTTATGAGCCATACGTGTACTATTAACCCTAACTTTTATGATATTTAATTATTTAATTTAATGTTATTTTTTATTTATTCGGCAAAAACTTGTTCTATGGTCCTTTTCACTGTGAAGAGCTTGCACCTCAGCTTCCACAGGGCGAGGCACAGTGGCTAATTTTCCAAAAAACCCGGCCAAATGTTGTGCAAAAGTTGTAGGGATGCAAACGATGCATCGAAATTTTTGAAATATCGTAAAATCGATATTTAAATTTTTTAGCATCGCTTAATTGACGATTCAAGGTGAAATTATTAAAAAGGGCCGACCGGCCGTCTACTACACATATTTCCGTAGTAGCTGAAAATTATCTTTAGTCGGGCTCTCAGAAATATATGCCGGCCTTGGATAATTATGCCCATCGTCCTTACGAATTTCTATTCTAATTAGCGCGTTGGGATTGAAAATAATAAAAAAAATTGTCTACTGAAATCATCGGAAACCATCGATATATCGATTTTTTTCCTGGCGGTCAGTTCGCCATTCCATGTTCTTCGGCAGACCTCGCCCACGCGAACAGAGCTATAGATTTTGCATAGGCAAGTTATCTCGGAAGCCCCCAACGATGAGAAACATCTTTGCTCGTCAACGTCCACATTTCTGTGCCATATAAGAGAGCGGCCATGATGAGAGGGATTTTTTGTTTTTTTTTTTCATTGGTTTATTTTACTTTATTTTAAAACAGAAAAATAAAGAATACTAATTATATATTCCCTGTAATCGTTTGAGCGTGAACCCGCCTGTAGTCAGTTGATGTAGTTATTTCCTAGAGGCATACATTTCTTCCAATTCCATCTGTATATCGCTCACGTCCGTCAAAAGCGTGTTAACTTAGAATTCTTTATTTATCAGAAACCCAGAAAATTGTCTCTACGCTTCTGTTTTAGCTGGTTGCTAAACAAAAAGTTGGTGAACATTTATTAGTACGCTTCTGAAGAACGTGTGCGATATATTTATTCTTAGTAAATATTTAATATGTTTACGGATATATATATATATATATATATCTACGTATTTTGGGTTAACAAAGATAAATATTGTTTTATTTTTCATCTATATAAGTATTTTCCCCCACTTTTTTAAGTGCTTAAGTGTTACTTTAAACTTGTGCAAACAGCCAAAAATTTATTCGCCCAAGGTTAAATTTATTTTTATTTTTTCACCTCAGATCGCCCGACCGACTATCGCAACGACAGCTCTGGCAATGAGGGCAATGCTTTCAATACCGATGGTCAGAATTCCGACCCTCAAAATAGTCCTCCACGCACCGAGAAGGATTACATGCGTTTGCAATTATTGCAACAGCAGCAACAACAACAATTAACTCCAGTGAGCGGTGGCGGGGGTAACAATAGCAACGCATTCACTTTTAGCGAGAAGCGTTCGCGACTCTTTCGCACATCAAGCAATACACCCAGCGGTGCTGGTGGCGGTGGTGGCGCCATGGGTATGGGTAAGAAAAAGCAAACACTCAGTTTAACGGCTGAGCCGCGTTCAGTATTAGAAACATGTCTGTCGCCGACAAATGTGGAGCCGCGAAAGATGCTACTCGATCAACTGAGCCGCATATTTGCCAGCGATGACACTGTGCTACCAGATGTGGTCACAATAATCAGTCCGCCTGAGGCGCTAAGTGGCAGTGCGCTAATCCCTAAGCTGACCACATTGTTGGCAAACTCATTTAAGCCGGCATTTATGCCGCAAAATACCGCGGAAGTGAAGGCAGTGTTGCAGGCATTGATGGGCAAAATACAGAAATAGTAAGACATAATTAAAATTAAAAAAAAAAAATTGTCGATCTTCTTACTAATGGTATTTTTTTCTGCTTACAGCTGCAACTCGAATGCGAAGCCACCAAATACGGTGAAGATTTTACTACTGGGCGGTGATTGGCTGCAGGGTGCTGCGTTGCGCCACTACGTTGAGTTGATGGGCGTGCGCCCGCCAGACTGGCTGAATCATTTGCGTTTCTATATTGTGCCAATCGGCAGCGGTAGCACGATTGCGCGTTATCTTAGCCAAATCGATTTGACATACGGTGCCATGTTTGGTTCGGACAATTGGTATCAGTTGTGCGAGCGTGTTGCGGCGACTGCAGCGGCCGTGAGCGCTGTGACGACGGTGAATGCCTCGGCGCTGTCAACAACGCTCGGCGATTCGGTGACGGCGAACAAGTCGGACATTGTGGAGATGGTGCAACGCATACAGCGATATCTGCACGCAGCCGGGCCATGCACACAGATTCCCATCGGCGAGGCGATGGTCAATTACAAGGACGAGGATTCGTGTCAAATATTTGTGCCATTCGTCAGTGTGAGTATCAATAAAATAGTTTACATTTATATTTGTGCATATTTGAATAAATTTTATTTCTATAGGATGTACGTATTGGTTACTTGGAAGGCCCACAAGTCTCACTTGATCTCGAAGAGAATGCCGCACAAACTGGTGGTGCTGGCGCGCAACAAGCGTTAAATATGTCGAGTGCCATACCCATTGGAAGTGCTAACACAACAAATATGGTTAGCGGTGGCAGCGGCGGTGTAGGAAATAATGCATCATCCGGTTCGCCACCACAAAGCGGACGTATTTCACCACCCCAGCAGACACCACCTTCTTCGGCGAATGCGTTACGTGATCGTGGTGGTGATTCGATAAATACGCCACCAGCGCAGTCGACAGCAGCGCCCGAGTCGGTCGAACTGCAAGTGGACTATTGGCCAATTATCCGACCGGGCGACCATACACCCAAGGAAAAGAGTATCACGCGGAGCGGTGATCAAGGTGGCAAGAATAGCATTAAGAGTACGTTTAGGAATCTACAAGTTTGGCGGCTACCGCAGAATGCCCAATTGGGTGAGATGTCGTATGGGCTGACCGTGAATTTCGCCACCAAGGAGAAGAAACAGAAGCAAAGTATGTTAAAATGGAGTGTTGTAGTGTGGTTAGTGGGAAATGTTGTATGTTATTCAATTCTCTTTATTTTAAATTGTAGTAATGCGCCTTGGCAAGAAAAAGGAAAAAGACCGTGATCTCGAGAAGGAGCAATGCGTTGAAGGTGTGGCGCGGTTAATTTGCTCACCAAAACAGTCACATCCTGTACCGTTGAGAGGTGAGTTTGAAATGTTTTTTTTTTGTTTCTTTCCATATTATTTGAAAAGTGAAGTGTCATTTTATGTGATTCCCATAAGAGGTACAAGTAATTGTATGGCTCTGCGCTCTAAGTTGGCTAAATAACTAAGGTGATAATTACTTCGATTAAAAAATAGAACACATATACAAACATACTATTAGGGGCCGATTAGGAATGTAAAAATATTGCTCATATAGCCAAGCTTCTAGATCTTTGCTATGCTGTAATTTTGTCTTTAATTGTAACGAAGTCCACTTACGTAACATATATAAAGTTTAGAGAGTTGGAATCTATTCGATCAAATATCAATCTAGGTGAATAAAATCGATTTGGAATCTTGTATTGCAATTAAAGACAATGTGGGGCGTATATTGTACTGATACTTGCTACCAGTGCTGGGACCAGCCAAATATTCGGATATCCGGTTAGTATCCATTCTATTTGGTTATCCGGATATACGGTTAATATCTGTTCATTTTGTTATCCGGATATTCGAACTAGTGTTTGACCGAATTTGTTCTTAAAATTACTGAATCTATTGATTTGCAGAAAGTAATAGAACACTTCATAAGAACTCACAATCAATTGAGATTGTATTGTTATTTTTAATTTGGAAAATCCGGACTTACGGCCTTATTCATAAAAATAAAGCAGCTTTTAAAAGCTTCGCAAAGCTATATTTTTATAAAAATTTTTGATTTATAAAGCTATCAACGGCTGAGTGCAAGATCGACCTAAACGTTCCCACTACAGTCGGGCCTACGTAAACGGAACGAACCAGATTTATATCTGGCCAAGGACTGTCGCTCCAGCAACACGTCCCAAAAACTCTTTGGGGAACTTGTAAGCTGCTACTACAACAACAGCAAGATCGATCTAAATATCTCGGCAGCCAGTTCGAAAACGCCCTATCTCAGAAAAATTTCCTCCCTTTTTCTCAGAATGCGTTACGATAGCGCGTTTTTGAATCGGCAGCTAATATAGGGCCAAATTCTGAGAAAGGGCGTTCTTCAACCAAATTCTGAGATAGGGTGTTTTTCAATAGAACTCTGAATTAGAGCATTCTTGAAAGATTTTCCGAGGTAGGGCGTTTTCGAACTGGCTTACGATATAAAGTCTTCTTTATGATTTATGAGTTTGGGATTTAGTATATAAAAAATGTAACCATTTTAACCGAACCGAATGGCGGTTCAGAGATAATCATGAACCGAATCACATCTCTTTTCGTAGCGCTTTGCAGCCGTGGTCATAGCTGAAGTTTATGTAAAAAAAAAGTTTTGAATTAATTTTAATTCAACTAATTTTTGTTTATTCTTTTATTTACAGTTTTCATCGACGGCACCGAATGGACTGGTGTGAAATTCTTCCAGTTGTCATCGCAATGGCAAACACACGTTAAGAATTTTCCAATTGCTCTGATTGGTTGTACACCAATGTCATGTTCTGAGATATCCTAGTCATTTTAAATATACTATGTATAATAACCGATAAAACAAAAAATTTAAATATTTAGCAATTTACATACTATGTAACAATTATACTTCTAGAACATATAAATCGGCATATAAACGTGTTGCACATACTACTAGTATTGGAACTATAACTATAATATACAGTATATCACCATATATGCACACATACATACAAACATAGCGACCACACAAACGTCTACATTCATAAATGCCTTCATGACTACATAAAATACGAATATAGTGCATAAAATGTACACAACTCGTACACATGAAATTCAGCAAAATTAATATGTAGAGTAGTCATAAAAGGCTACTTTTATATTTATATATATTTTTGTATTTAATTTAATCTGACAATTACTGTTAATTTAATAAACATACAAACAGGAAACGCGTGAATGCATACATTTATTTTTCCTTATTTTTATAGAGACTTAACTACATCAAAACACATGTTCATTCTTATATACATACCTACTACATACATTCACGCGTAATGCATCAAAATTATTATTTATTTAGTCTTTCGCTTTCATTTGATTGCAAAATTAAATTAAACATTTGATAGACACTTTATATTAAATATAAAAATAGAGTGCGCTTACTTATAAAAAAAGACTATTTTTCATGAATAAATCTGAATATACAACTGAAGTGAATTGCATAACCAAACCATGCTTGCTAATACCAGTAGAATTTACATATACTACTTATATACTATACATACATAGATATATGATAAAAGGTAGCTAAATACAACTTACTACTTACGCCGATATTGTGTTAAATATATATTATGAAACTTGAGTATTGATAACTAAGTATATCTTGCAATTTATTGCTTCCTACGGACCACCAGCCATATTGAAATACTAAATGTTACATACATTTGAGAATAGATGTAAACATAAAACTCCAATTTTCATTGTAAAGCGCATCATTGAAACGCAAATTAACATTAAAAATGCCACCGTGTTCAGTATGCTTTGGTGACTGAACTTCAGCGAATTTCCATCAATAAATCAGCAGTATCTGAGATTTACTTCTTATTAAATAGTGGAAGAAAGTAAGAGGAAGTAATGGAAAAACTAAAATACTTAGAATAGTTTAAAATAATGTATTGGAGAGTTGATTGTAAAAAAAAACATATTCATGAGCGTACGTATATATAAGTACATGAATTACAAATTTAATATATATATGTAGTTCCAAAAATTTTCTAAATCTAAATGTGCTTCAGTGTTTATGATTTATGCAGAAATATATTTGGGTATAATTAATATGACTCTGAAAACTATGCATGAATTATGGGCGAGTAAGAAAGTGAGTCCATCAATTACTAATGTCCGTTTTAGTATGTTGAATTAGTGATGGCCGTAGCGGAGTGGTTAATGGGATGTACTCGCACTTGGTAGGATTCAGAACTGATGCCTAGGCCAAGCAACTTCTACACCTTTGCGTGTATTTTTTCTAAGGAAAAGCTTCTCGTTAAAGAACGTATGTCTGTCTATTTGTGTGACAACATAAGACGCACACCGCAAATTCGACATTAGCGTTGAAATTCGGCCAAAGGTCAGCAGAAATTAGATTATAGAAATGAAAATACTTAGTTTTTGGTATTTGTGGCCTAATAACAATTTATAATTAACCTTTATGTAGGAACATTTGTTTGTTTCGTAACACACAGCAATACCCAGAAAAATTGAAAAATAAAGACAATGACGGTGATAACAAGGACTTTATTAAAAATATTTCTAGGTCTATTCTGCACGTTACCGCGATTCTAGGTACGTTGGTAATGCAGTTAAAATATTCAGCAGTTCAGCTATGAAGAGTTGTGGAAATTCTGGCATTGCATATTTTACGGGGCAATACTTTGTACCCCCCACCTTATGAGATATTAACAAAATTTACCGGTTACAAGAGTACACAGAATGCGAAAAGGGTTTAAAAATTTGCCAGAAGCTGTATTTACCGGTTACAAAATTTTTATTACCAGCACATAATAGGTCTGTAAATGTTGAAATAATAAATTTTTGTTTTAAGGAATCAACAAACTTTACTGAAACCAGCTCAAATTGTGAAAGCCCTTATCCACAGTTAAAAGTTTACAAATTTATTGTGGCGAGAAACCGTTATTTTTTGTTAAAAGTTTTGTGGAAAACTACAATACATAATTTACAAAGGTAGAAGCTATGTATGTATATGTAGCTGCTATTTCAGGAACATCCATATCTCTTGATTAGCCTTCTTCATCGAGCTCACTGTCCTAAATTGTTACATTATCATAAACACCTACATACATAAATAAAATATGGCCGAAAAAAATCAAATGATGCATCATGACCGCCGCAAGAAATTACAATGTATTGATTAAAGAGGATCGAAAAAAGTAATGCTAAAAAAACTATTGAATATGATCAAAAGCAATATACCCGTATTATAAAAAATGATTACATATGTGTGTATGAATAAAAGAATTGAAATCAATTTTTGACGATTAAATAAAGATGTTTATAATTATAAAAAAAATAACCGTTACGGTTTGTATAGATTTATATTTTGATGCTCCAAATGCTAGGTGATTTTCGGTTGTTGTTGTTGTAGCAGCATTCAAATTTCCCAAAGAGTTTGTGGGGAGTGTTGCTGGAGTGACAGTCCTTGGCCAGATATAAGTCTGGGTCGTTCCGGTTACGTAGACCCGACTGCCGTGGGAACGGGTGATTTTCGGTGCAATGCATTGCATGCTCGGAATATCAGAATTTTGTGATCGGTATCCAACGGTTTTATAACTTTCTAGGGCCGACCAAAACTCGAGTTCTCGATACAATCTCAGATACCGCCATTCTCACGAGCATATGTAAATATAAATATTCTATTATGAAAACAAAAACGTTTGTACATATACATG